CCTACGGCCACTGTTTAGATAGCATCAAATTGATTAAAACGCTCCCCTTTGGCCAGATCATTCTCATCTTTAATCCCATCTTTGCAGCTCGCTGATTCATCATTATCATCCTTCGCATCTTCACAGAATCGCAACCCACGAATATTTACCAGACGACCTTTCATATATCATACACCTCGTCTTTCTTAGTCCAACTGTCATTGGACGCCCTCTCGCTCGGTTCAGCTGTCAATCAAGTCACGCTAGCCGTCTTTCACCATGCCTACGATGCGCTTTCTCTGCCTTCCCGGTGCCTATGGCAGCTCGGACGTGAGTACTAAAATCCCAGCGATCTATGGCTCACTCACTAACGATCGCGCTAGAAATTCCAAGTACAACTTGGTGAGTCTGTCACTGCAAGCCACACGAGACCATCGCGACCGGCTTCATCAATGACAGGCAATTTATATACTGACACTTCTCACAGCCCCCATCCTGAAGGAGCTTTCTGAGGACGGCACGGCACAGTTCCACTTCATTCATGGTCCTTGCAAGGCCGTCCCGCCTCCGGGCTTCGAGGACTACTTCGGCGCCCCGCCTTACTACCGCTTCATCGAGCCCGACAAGGACGTCGAGAAGACTCACAGCGACGACGTTCTCGCCCGTATCCGCGACTTCCCCCAGTGCGAGAGCCCGGAAGACACCATGAGAGAACTCATGAGGGAGGGTATCGCGACGACGCATCGCAGCACCGACAGGGCTATCAAGTACATCAGCGAGATTGTCCAGAAGCGCGGTCCCTTTGACGGCATCATCGGCTACTCCGAGGGCGCCACCGTGGCCTCGACGTTCATGCTCTACGAGCAGCGCCGGCTGAAGCGCTCCGGCCAAAAGCCGGCCTTCAAGTACGGCATCTTCTTCGCCGGCTGGCCCCCGGTTGACCCCAAGTCCCACGCTCTCGTATTGTCTGACGAATCTGACGAGAGGATCGAGGCCCGGACCCTTCACATCAGTGAGTTCTTCTTATGATCGCCATGATGATACGTTATTGCGGATCATCATGGTTAGGCACAGGAGCGCGGGGTGGATTTGCTGACGGTCCCATTCTTAGTCGGATCCCTGGATCCTTACGTGGACGGCTCCATGGCTCTGTACAACATGTGCGACGCTGACACCGCCTACCTGTTCGACCACGCCAAGGGTCACACCCTTCCCCGTGACAAGGACACGATCAAGGAGCTCGGCGACATTGTCCGCGAGACGAAGGCTGACATGATCGAGGAGGGTCTGCTGCAATAGAAACATGTTGTGGCGTCTCCGCAGACCGGGGCATCCCGGCCAGGGGAGTATTTCCGGATAATTTAAGCATCGAAAGCATCGCTCAAGGTTGCTTTGTGCCTTATTTTTGGGTTGCAGGGCAAGACAGGAAAGTGTCAAGGGGCTGGTTTCCTATCTCTTCCCGCGCCCGTATGTGTTTGTGTGTGTGTGTGGCGGCAAGCATTAGATAGAACGGGTTCGTGGTGTCGTGGGTCGCATATTCCAGGGGAGCCTGCTGGAGTCGGGTCATGATGAAGAAATGATTTGGATTACTATTTTTTTTGGGTTTTGCATGGTTTTATGTTTTTTCTACATGTTTTCCATTTCGCAAATCATGGTGCCGCCGCCTACCATTCACCAAGTGGCGGCCACATCTTTGTTTTTGGTTGTCGTTTTACAAAGCTGCCCAATGCTGGCAATGTCACACATCCCAGACTTAGACAGAAGCCGAGAAAAATACAATCACCTGAATCTAGATGGGCAACTACCTACTCTGAATTATTTGACAGGTGTTCCAACCGTCAAACATGTCAAATAACCCACCTGCTTGCCATGCGCCCCGCCTGCGCGCCCAATTGCGATTTGGATATCGGTGGGCAGGAGGGGGACGCATTAATGCATGATCCGGTAGAAACGTCCTCCGCAGGTAATTGACCGACGGCTGGCCCCCTTATGTCAAGTGTCAATCAACGACCCAGGCCCCAACCAACGCCCGCGCATCAAGTGCTCTCACCAAGATGTCAAATCCTGCGGCGAGGAAAACAAATGGGCCGTGCGATCGAGGACAGGGACAAAATGAACCACATGATCTTCCTCGAACACGCCCGTGTGTATCCGAGTGTGGAGACCAAAGGGAAAATGAACATTGGCCACTTCACAAGATAGAATACAAGACGCAGCGTGAGAGCAGCCGATTTACATGTGTATCCTCGGGACATCTAAGTGGTTCGCCTCTTATTTTCTTGCTATTCTATTCCGGCCAATCGTCAAAGTCCCTCCGCGAACCAGGTGTTTGTTTCCAAACTCCAACTTATTTCGGTTGTTGCCCTCTCCTATTCTTTATTGCTATATCATGACTTGGTATATTTCCAAAACACAAGATGAAAAAAAACCGTCCTTTACATGAAATTGCCTATTTAGGGATGGATCAGCAGGAAACGGGAGTGCCACAGAAAAGACAGGCGGGTAGACAGCAGAGATGGAGGGACTGGGGGAGCAAGAGGGTGGGGAGGGGGCAGAGGGGATTGCCCTGCCACGAGAATGATTTGTCGTCGAACCTGTCTTGATTCGCAAAACATGCGTGTCCTGGCTTTGCCCCAGACCTTTTTCTGTCACTTCTCCGTCGACGTCGCCTGCTCTGCGCGGTTGCACACCTACCTACCAACCCTTGGCACACAAATCCCAAAACGCGCCTCCAGGAAGACCCAGCTCCGGGAAGCGCAACAGAGAGAAGAGTGGGTGAGGAAGATGCAAGGCAGGGGGCCCATTCCTCCCGCACGGGCGATCCCTGTCCCAGGTCCAGGGCCAAAACCCCCCGACGTGCATATGTGGGTAAGACGCAAAACCTCCCATAGGTACGACGCCTCAGGTAATATGTACTGCAGCCGCTTTGATGCACCAGGGAAAAAGCCGAGAGAAGGTTGCTAGAATGAATTGGTCCAAAACATTTTTTAATTATTCCCGAGAGGCGCGAGGGTGGTAACAGAAACGCACCAGAGAGCGGGGCAAAACGGGTTAGGGAGAAGCAATGAAGAAGACGACGAAGAAGAAGAAGAAGCACATGCACGCTTGCCCCCATATCGACGCTTTCCCTCTTGCCCCAGGCAAAGTCACTCGGTACCTTTTACCCTCAGGTAAGGTAAACCATCAATTGCTACCACGGCGTGCTGCCCCCCCGTTTCATCTTTACATCACACGGGTAAAACAGAAGAAGAAGAAACGACGTCCGTTCCTTACTCGTTTCCACTTTCCCAAGACCGAACCAAGAACCGAGCGAAGGGTGCAGCTGGCTGTACGAAGTACGAGCAACGACACCATGGCACCAAACTCAGCCTCCCATTACACTCCATCTGCCTGCGGCTTCTCCAAATCCTGCCCATCTGGCTGCCCGCCACGCGCTCTCGCTATGCTTTTTGCTGCTTGGGTGGAGATGCGGTAATCCGCTCTCTCCCTCCTCCACCCACACACACACACAGGGCACCAACGCTGGGCAGATATGTGACCATGACTTACACGCACTTCCTCTCCGCCGCTCCGCAGTCCACACTCTGGACCCAACTCAGCGCGCAACGCAGATATACCTTGGCACGCAGTGGTCAATACAGAGAGCGGGTTAAAACGCAGAAGTTGCGTGATCATGATCATGATCTCGGAGAAATAATCTGGGGGGGGTGTGTGGCCAAGATAACTCTTGCATGCAACCCCAAAGCACCAAGAACCACAGCAGCGAGAACCAAATCGTTCCCCACTGCCCATGATCTCACTTCTCGCCCGCCCATCCATCTTCATCCCATCTCTGCCCATCTTTGGCTTCCCTCTCGCTCGCCCGCCCGCCCGCTCCTCCCACCCCATCCATCCAAATCCCATCCCACCACTGCCCAAAATCTCACAAATTCCCAAACCCAACTCTCTCGGCGCTAGGTCGTTTTTTTTTTGTTCCCTTCCCTTGTGTGTCCGCCTGCTGTTCGTCCTTCTTGGGGGGTCCCGCCTAAACCCACCTCCGCGCATCGTTTCGCACGCAAGCAGGCGATGCAGCATCAGCATCAGCATCAGCATCAGCATCAGCATCAGCAACAGAAGCAGCAGACGCAGCAGCAGCACAGCCGCTTCTGCAGGTCGTCCTCTCGGGTGGCTCGTTGATACCCGCTTCCCGGCGCTTTTGCAGTGTACTTCTGCCGGTCCCCCCATTTCACAACCATCCCCCCATCCCCCTTCCGCCTTGTCTCCTCTGCCAAACCCTTGCCCTGTGTTCTCCTTCTCGCTCTCTCACTCTCTCCGTCTCTCTCTCTCCCACCCCCGGTTTCTTGCCATTCGACTGCTTTCTCGTCTGGTCAAGTCTACACTGGGTGTGGTTTCTTGTTCGCCTCCCGTTTACGTTACATCCGTTGTGTGTAGTGTGTGTCTGGCTGGCTCAACTCTCCCACCTTCATCTCACTTTTTCTTCTCATTTTCTCCTATCTTCTTGACTCTCTCCCCATCCCTGGTACCCTGGTTGGGAACTCTCTTTTCTGTGTGTTTCCCATTCAGCTGTTGCCGCGGGACGACACAATCTCGATTTACCACTTGTTCCTTGGATCGAAAGAGAAACAAACCCCCCAAAGGAGAGAAAGCTGTCATTTGACAAATTATCCTGACACGCGAGTTGTTCGCATAAGACTAAGCTTCTCTGAACCTTTACACCTCCCACACAATCACATTAACCTCCCCTACCCCCTTGTCACTGCCGGCCTGCCGATCTCTCCCCCCTGGTGCCCGCCCCCAGGCTTCACCTGTTTGTGAGAAGAATTTCCCCACACACACATATGGCCCGGTCGTCCTCCTCCACATAGCCTGCAACGACAGATAATAGGATATCCAGTACTACCTTACGATAGAAGAGGAAGCACCAGATATCCGGATCGGAAGACATCTCCCGGTCGAATCGGACCCCACGACCTGCCCCGGTCACCAACCTACCGCCCCCCTTACCACCCCCGCCAATTATCATGGCCACACCGGCCGGCGGCACTGCCGATGCGCCGGCAGCTGCTCCGGGCCCCGGGCCGGCCCCCGGCGGAGCGGTCGCGACGGATCCCAACGCCCCGCCTCCGGCTCCCAAGAGATCGTGGTGGAAGCTTAGCACGAAGAACGTTGCGACGCTGAGGAATTTCATCGTATGTTCTGGTCAAGCATGTATGCCTGTGTCGATGAGATTTGGCTGACTTGCGTTACAGAGAATCTTGTCTTATGGCACATGGTATGACAAACTCATCATCATGGTGTCGGTCCTAGGTGCCATCGGCGCTGGCCTCACCATGCCGGTGATGAACATTGTCTTTGGTGAGTGACACCATCAGCTGTCGCAGAGAAGCAGCAATTAACACAACTCAGGACAACTCGTCGGCACCTTCACTGGCTTCTTCAAGCAAGGCACGCAGGAGACGCAAGAGGAATTCACGCGCACCGTCAACCAGGGCGTGCTCTACATCGTCTATCTCTTCATCGCGAGACTGATCCTCACCTACCTGTCCAACGTAAGTCACCCGCCAAGCCCCTACCACACGCTTGACTAACAAACGCCACCACAGCTCGGCTTCCGCATGACGAGCATCCGCATCTCTGCCGCCATCCGCCTGACCTACCTGCGCTCCCTCTTTGCCCTGCCCATCTCGATGCTGGACATGCTCGCGCCGGGCCAGACGGCCGCCATCATCACCATCACCGCCAGCACGCTGCAGCTCGGCATCTCCGAGAAGATCGGCACCTTCTTCATGTCCTTCTCGACCGTCATCGCGGGCTTCACCATCGCCTTCGCGTACAACTGGCTGCTGACGCTGACTACGGCGTCCGGCCTCGTCTTCATCCTCTTCGTCTACATGTTCACCACTCCGCCTATCATCCAGCGGCTCAAGGACGTCCAGGACATGGACATCGAGGCCGCTTCTGTGGCTACCGAGGCGTTCGGCGCCATCAGGATGCTCGCGGCGTGCGGCGCTGAGTTCAAGATGCTGGCCAAGTATGGCATGCTGGCGGACAGGTCGCGGGAGAAGGGCGCGGGCATGGCGTGGCTGGTTGGGTTCCAGCAGGGGCTGAGTGAGTTACTCCCACGGCGTTCCTTCACGGATGTTTTGCTAACTTGCCGCAGTCTTCTTCGCCATCTATGCGTAAGCATTCAAGGATGTATACACCTGATGATGGATTTACTGACGTTCTCTAGCACATTTGCGCTGTCCTTCTGGTACGCGTTCAAGATGTACACCATGATGGTCCTGACCACCCCGGCCTCCCTCATCGTGTAAGTCCCTTGTGCTCCTAGAATCCGGCAGGATGAACCTTATCTGACACTTCTTACCCCAGCGTTCTTCTCTGCATCATGATGATGGCGTCCTCCATCGGCCAGCTCACAGCCCCGCTATCAGCCGCGTCGCAGGCCGCTGACGCCAACGCCATCTTCCACACCATCATCGACGCCCCGAAACCGACCTACGGCAAGCTCAAGGGCCCCGAGGCGTCCGCCGAGGGCGACATCGTCTTCCAGAATGTCAACTTCGTGTATCCCAAGCGTCCCGATGTCAAGATCCTGGAGAACCTGAGCCTGACGTTCCCTGCGGGCAAGGTCACCGCCATCGTCGGACCTTCTGGCTCCGGAAAGAGTACCATTGTCGGAATCCTGGAGCGTTGGTATGAGTTCAACGGAGACCTCCAGGCCAATCAACTCGTAAGACTCACCCTCGACATCCCTAACCCTCTACATCGGCTAACATGTCACAGACTCTCTGGCTCAGAAACGGTATCATCAGCTGCGGCGGCCGCCTCCTCAGCGAGATCGACCCCCAGTGGTGGCGCAACCAGATCGGTCTCGTCCAGCAGGACAACGCCCTCTTCAACACCACCATCTTCAAGAACGTCGAGTACGGCCTTATCGGCACCGAGTTCGAGTTCGAGGACGAGTCCGTCAAGGCCAAGCTCATCGAGCAGGCTTGCAAGGACGCCTTCGCCGACGAGTTCATCTCCCGCCTGCCCGAGGGCTACCAGACCGAGGTCGGTGACGCCGGCATCAAGCTCTCCGGCGGCCAGCGCCAACGCCTTGCCATCGCCCGCGCCATCGTTAAGCAGCCCAAGATCCTCATCCTCGACGAGGCGACCTCCGCCATTGATGTGAGGAGCGAGCAGATCGTCCAAGCTGCGCTCGACCGTGCCTGCCGCGGCCGCACCACCATCGTCATTGCTCACCGTCTCGGAACCATCAGAAAGGCCGACAGCATCATCCTCCTCCGCAAGGGCCAGGTCGTCCAGCAGGGAACTCACCAGGAACTCATGGCCCAGATCGACGGTCCCTACCACCTTCTCGCCACCGCGCAGAAGCTGGATATGGGCGTCGAGGAGGACGACGACATCCTCTTCGGCGACCTCAGCTGGCGCCGCCCGGAGCCCGAACGTAACTCCCTGCCCAAGTCCATGCCCTTCGGCAGCAGCGAGGGCGACCTCACCGAGAAGCGCCAGAGCATCGACAACGTCGACGAGGACAGCAACCCCGTCACCGAGCGCGACGGCTCCGACGAGGAGCTCGAGCGCGGCGGCGGCGGCAACGTCCGCGTCATCAAGGAGCCCCGCGGCCTCTGGGCCCGCTGGCGCGCGTGGCACCTCTTCGGCTCCTTCGGCCTCCTCCTCGGCGAGCAGCGCAAGCGCTGGAAGACGTACATCGTCATCGCCGTCGCGGCCCTCGGCGCCGGCGCCAGCACCCCCGTCCAGGCCTACCTCTTCGCCGTCCTCGTCTCGCTCTTCTCCTACTGGGGCAGCTTCCTGCGCGTCATCGCCAACCACTGGTGCCTCATGTTCGTCTACCTCGCCGCCGGCGTCGGCGTCTCCCACTTCCTCCTCGGCTGGGCGACCACCACCATCGGCTTCGGCATCACCCGCGTCTACCGCAAGGAGTACTTCCGCAACATCCTCTACAAGCCGTCCGCCTTCTTCGACGCCGAGGGCAACTCCGCCGGCGCCCTCACGGCCCGCCTCGCCACCGACCCGACCATGCTGCAGCAGCTGCTCGGCACCAACATGGCCTTCGTGCTCATCTCGCTCTTCAACGTCATCGGCTGTATTGTAGTCGGCCTCGTCTTCGGCTGGAAGCTCACCCTCGTCGCCCTCGGCACCTCCATGCCCATCATCGTCGCCGCCATGTTCTACCGCGTCCGCCACGAGACCAAGTTCGAGGAGGCCAACAACGCCGTCTTCGCCGAGTCCGCAAAGTTCGCCTCCGAGTCCATCGGCGCCATCCGCACCGTCTCCTCGCTCACCATGGAGCAGGGCATCTGCCAGCGCTACGACGAGCTCCTCGCCGAGCACACCCGCGACGCCTTCCGCAAGTCCCGCTTCTCCGTCATGCTCTTCGCCTTCAGCGACTCCATCTCGCTGCTCTGCATGGCCTTCGTCCTCTGGTACGGCGGCCGCCTGCTCTCCGACCACGAGTACACCCCCTTCCAGTACATGGTCGTCTACATCGCCGTCGTCCAGGGCGGCATGTCCGCCGGCCAGTGGCTCTCCTTCGGGCCCAACATCGCCAAGGCCAAGACCGCCGCCGACCGCATACTCGCCATGCGCGACGCCGACGACGACGAGACCACCTCCGCAGCACCCACCGAGCGCGTCAGCGACGTCGTGCCGTACGAGGTGCACTACGAGAAGGGCGTCGAGATCGACTTCAAGGACGTCTGGTTCAGCTACCCTACGCGCCCGACGCCCGTCCTCAAGGGCCTCGACCTGCACATCGAGCGCGGCCAGTTCGCCGCCATCGTCGGGCCCTCGGGCTCCGGCAAGACCACCATCATCTCTCTCCTCGAGCGCTTCTACACCCTCCACGGCGAGGGCCGCGTGCTCTACAACGGCCACGACATCAACAGCCTCGACCTCGCAAAGTACCGCCAGAACATCTCCCTCGTCGCGCAGGAGCCCTCGCTCTTCACGGGCACGATCCGGGACAACATCCTGCTCGGCATCGAGGACGAGGACTCTGTCTCCGACGAGGCGCTGCACGCGGCGGCCAAGGACGCGGGCATCCACGAGTTTGTGATGTCGCTGCCGGAGGGCTACAACACCGCCGTGGGCCAGTCGGGCGTGGCGTTGTCCGGCGGGCAGAAGCAGCGCGTCTCGATCGCGCGCGCGCTGATCCGCCGGCCGTCGCTGCTGCTCCTCGACGAGGCGACGAGCTCGCTCGACAGCGAGACGGAGCGCGCGGTGCAGGCCGTCTTCGACGCGACGAAGGGCAGCAGGACGATGATCATGGTCGCGCATCGGCTGGCGACCGTGCAGAACGCGGACGTGATCTTCGTCATGGCCGATGGCAAGGTTGTCGAAAGAGGTGACCACGCGACGCTGATTGCGGAGAGGGGAGTCTATTTCCAAATGGTGAGTTCTTTTTTTCCCTTTTCCTGGATTTGAGATTCAATGCTAATTTGAGAACAGTGTCAATCACAGGCGTTGGACAAGTAAACGGATACAGCCCACAGGGGAGGAGCCCCCGAAACGGAATTTGTTCTTCATTATTTTTGTGTTTTCTGGCATAGATAAAGCAGAGAAGACTACAGTCTTTCATCATCATCATCGTGGTAGAGATTCCCCCCCTTTCAAGCTGACGCTGTTGTATCCCATTCTCTCTGGATTGAGGCGTTGGGAAAGCAAGATTGTAACAACATTGACGCCCATTACCACGGAATTTACCATCATTTTTTCATTATCATCAGGGCCAATATCATATGTTATCGCGTCTCCATTTAGATTCTAGGCTTAGCTAGGCATATTATTGAATCATGATCAAATCACAGAATTGCTGCGTGCCTCTCATTGTGACCTTTCAATGAGCATCTCACGATATCACTTCAGGCTTCTCTCTCGCTGCGCACAGTCACTCTCACACATGTCATAGTCCGGACTCAGATAATCTGACCAATATTGTTGTACAATTCCCTAACTCTACTCTAAACACATTTTTAGCTCTCTGACTAAAAAAGACTGGTACTTTTCTTTTCTTCTGGCTTGTTTTCCGCAAAGCCAACCGTGCATTCCCAGGCAGCAATAGACACAAATTGAAATAGTCATGGACAACGAAAGAATCTCGGATCATCCACCACATCGGAGGAAAAGATGAATCCTGAGAGATGACCGCACGGACACGGACATTCCCTAGAACAACAACGACAACTCGCCAAGACCGTCACTGCACCGCTTTTCGCGCTCGGGATGCGGCTCACGGAGGTCTGTTTTTTTCGTCTCATCGTCGGTCACCGAATCCCAATACGGGACTCCGGGACCGAAATACACACACACCTGTCAACTCCACTCAATCCTAAAACGTGGGAGCAACCTTTTCCTCGCTCTGCTCCATCACGCTCCGCAGCTTCAGCGCGCGGAGCGAACCCCCAGACGGCCGCGACACATGTCCTCGCTCGCGAGCTTGACTGCCGCTGCTGCCTAGACTCATGAGCGACCGCGTGCGCGCGAGCCCGCCGCCCGCTGCTGGGTGCGCGGGGGAGTGCATGCCGCCGGTGCTCGACATCATGGCGGCAGAGCCGCTGCGCGGCCGCGTGTTGAGGCGGCTCATCATCGAGCTCAGCGCGGTTTGCGCGTCGACGGGGTGCTGGCTGCCGTGGTGCGAAGGCGGCGGCGAGTATGAGCCGCGGAGGACGGGGAAGGGTGCTGGGGAGCCTGGCTGCGATGCGTTTGGCGTCCTGGTGAGAGAGGCACCGCGGGGACGGTTTAGTTTGGCGAGGAGCATCTCGGCCGTGGGCTTGCCTCCCACGGCGAAGGGCTGGTTGAACCGCGTGGGGGACCGGCTGGAGCCGCGGGATGAGGGCGGCGTCGGGAGGATCCTGTTACCATTCCCGCCCTTCCTGACGTGCAGCCCTTGCTCTTGGTGGTGATGGTTATGCATGTCACCTGCCATTTCTGGGGGTGACAGCAGACCGCTCTGCCCTCCGGCACCGCTCTGTGCCATCTCGAGCAGTGCGGCACGCTGGATGTCTTCGAAGTTCATGCCAGTGGGCATTGCGGCGGGCATCTTGCTCAGACGGCGGATTGCACGGCTGTTCTTCTCGACGAAGCTGCTCATGGCGCGCAGGGCGTCTGCGTTCTCGCGGCTCGCGACGACGCTGACGTCGCCCGTGTCGACGCGTCCTCGGGCCTGGTGCACGGCGTTGAGCGTCAGAGGTTGCTGCGGGTGCTGCTGGTGAGGCTGCAGGTGCGAGGGGTTCATGGCCGAGACATCCTGTCGCAGCGAGGCCTGCACCTGCGCCATGACGCGGTCAAAGCCAATGTTCTGGTTCGGGTTCGCGCGCGACATGTAGTACGGCTGCTGGTTCTGGCCGGCCGCTGGGTCCAGCAGGTTGGAGGAGAGCTCGGCCTTGGTGGCCAGGACGAAGAGGCTGCCGTCGCGGATGCGTCTGCGGACAAGGGCCCAGCGGGTACGGGCCGGGTTCTTCTCGAGCTGGGGCTGGTAGACGGAGGAGCGGGCCAGCTGGGCGTAGAAGACCTCGAGGTGGCGGGCCATACGCTCGAGGACCTGCAGGAGGAAGGTGGAGAGCGCGGTGAGGCGGGCGTTCTCAACGTCCGGGTCGGAGGACTCCTTGATGGAGTTTGCGATGCTGTCGAAAGCGTCCATGCCGTTGCAGGCCTCCTGGCGGAGGTCCTCGAGCAGGGCGATGTCGAGCTCGACGCTGCGGGCGGCGTAGGCGAAGACGCCGCGCTCCTGGAAGCGGAGGGAGGCGTCGGCATCGCAGACGAACTGGCCGACGAGGGCGACCTCCTTGGTGCAGGTGGCGGCGTCGCCCGAGGTTTTTGCGCGCGCGACAGTGCCGAGGACGTCGGGCAGCTTGGTGTCGGCGGCGGGGCCGTTGGCGCTGGCGACGCCGAAGGAGAGTTTGAGGACGAGCTCCTGCAGCTTCGGGCCGAAGAGGGCTGCGAAGCCGCCTTGCAGGAGGCGGGACTGGTAGCCGTAGAAGGTGCGGACGGCGATGATGTTGGGGAGGGACTCGCGCAGCCAGATGTTGTTGCTGCCGGCGGGGTCGTGGGAGGAGTTGGTCTCGAGGGAGGCGCCCATGATCTCGTACATCTCAAACTGGTGAGCGACGAGGGTCTCAACCGTGGTGCGAAGGTAAGCGGACCAGAGGTCGTGGAGGGCGGAGATTTCGTCGCTGCCGTAGTCAGGCTTAGGGGTCAAGTGACCGACGAAGTACTTCGTCAGGAGAGAGGACACCTCGGGGTTGTTCGTATGGGCGAGGTTATCGAAGGACTTTGAGCAGTCGACACCGGCGTTGGACTTGATGATGAGGGTTCCGCCCGGGTGCATAGGACAGAAGTCAGTGACGTCGTAGACGCTTCCGTGAACACCAATCCACATGCGCGATCCAGGGCGGTGGCCGGTATGTAGGGCCAATTGTGATAGAGGAATGGTCGGCAGCGTGCATGGCAGGGGCTTGGGGGTCATGAAGACATCAAGCATGAAGCGTCTCTCAGCAAACGCCTTGTTGACAATAGTATCGACGCCGCTTTCGGTGGCTGTTCTGTAGGTGTAAATCGCCTTGCGGATTCCCTGCATGACGGAGTCAAATACAGAGACCGAACCGCAGACATAGAGATAGCCACCGAGACCACCCTGCTTCTTGGACATCACGAGGTCGCAGATCTGGGCACCCTGTTCAACAATCAGGGTATCGATATAGCGAGGGGGGATGTGCTTCTCGACGAGATCGTGACCCTCGTAGGCTAGACCACGCGAGTCTCTTGAAAACGCGAGATGTACCTCCATGAAGTCCGCGTTGACGTACTGGCGGAGTTCTTCCTCAAAGCAGAACTTCTCACGGGACTGGACACCGAGGTACAGAGAGTTCTTGCCTCCGGACAGACCGCTCTGAGCAAGGCGAGCTTGCCAGAAGCTGCGGAAGGGAGCGATACCACTGCCACCGGCGAAGAAGGCACAGGGAGCCATAGGATCAAGGGGAAGCTGGAAGGCGGCTGGGCGCGAGACACCGATGAGGAGTTCGTCATCGGAGTCGATCTCGCCCATCTCCACGGGCGGGTTCAGGAAACCACTGGAAACTCCAGAGCGAGAGATATCTCTGCCCTGTGCGAAAGTTGAGCACAGCTTGTACTCGGAGCGGGAGACAGCAAGGTCGACCGTCTCAGGCAGCAGCTCTTCCGTGTAGCTAGCAATCGAGTATGTGCGAGGGACCTCGAGTTTGACCAAGTCGGCCAGCCAAGACAGATCTTCAAGGTTGAAGACTCTGTCCCAGATCTGGGGAGGAGTATCCGTGACAGCATCCTGGAGCAGGTCGCCCAGAGAACCCCTCACGGGCCACTCATCGGTGCTCAGGACCTGCAGGACAGTGTTGGAGGATGCGTGGAGCATTCCGTGAATTTTGAGAGCCATCTCCTTGGTGATGGGAGCGAGGTGGCCGCGGCGGAGGATGTCGCCGACCGTTAGCTTGGGAGTAGCAGTCCTCCTCACGGAACCGAGGTGCATCTCGAAGCGGGCCCAGGTTCCCGTGGTCTCCACGGGAGCATCGATGTGCTCCTCCAGACCAAGAGCAGCAATGACCTTGGCACACTCTTCCCAGCCGTTCAAAGGCATCACCGCCAAACGGTCACCAGGAGCCCAGGTGATACCGGTATCCCGTATATCAAGCGTCACCATCGCGATCGAGCGGGAAGGATCCGAATCGACAAAGGACCTGCTCAAAACGCGGGTGACGTAGCGGCACTCTTCAAAAGTGCCTCGCATCTGGTGTGGCTCAACGGGCAAAGCACCTCGGTAGGGCTCAAGACGCTCCTTCATGGCCTCGGAAAACTGACGGTGAGTCTCTTCCCACGGGCGCTCGCCATCGGCGGCACCAGAGGCGCCGTTGGTCTCGGTACGGCCTGTCTTTGCAGCGACTTCAAGGATGCCGAAGACCTTGTAGCGGTGGACACCCATAAAGCCGCGCTCACCGGTGTAGGCCTCGACGATGCCATCGAGAACACCCATCAAACGGGGGTCGCCGGATTGCTGGACGTACTCAGGGATGCGGTAGTGGTACTCGATAGCCGCGATGAAAGCGCGCAGGTTGGAGGGGAGCCATGCGCGGAGATGGACACCCTCGGCACCGAGGAAGGATGTGTACCTTAGGATAAATGTCAGTAAAGTGACACGGCAAGACACGGATGTCGACTTACTTTTTCCTGCCCAAGAAAGCATCCATAACTAAGTAGGGCGGGAACTGGAGGCCCGAGGAGGCGGGGCAGCGCTTCGAGAGAGGGGCAGAGAACTTGGCCCAGCGAACCCATTGCTGGACGGGGACATAGTTCTCACCAGCATTGGGGTTGGTTGAGATAGAGTGGAAGGCGCCGGGCATGCGCTCCAGAATTTCTTTCAAGCGGATCATCTCGTGGAGAAGACCCTCATTGTTGCGGTTCATTACATGCTCTTGACAAGCAGCGATGGCGTCGGGGCCATGTTGGAA